CCTATAGCATGCCCCCACAGCTTACACCAGCTCTGAGTGCGCACTGGCATCAGTTGTGGACACAGCTTGCAGGTTCCTGCTGGGATGGAGGCATCTAGGGCTATGCAAAGCTGCAGGCGCCGATTTGATTTGGAGGGAATTTGGCCCGATTCGGTGGCCGAATCTCCAAATCCGAATCGAATCAGGGGACCAATTAAAAGGTCTAAATTGATTCAAAGCTCTCCAAATCGATTTGGAAAAGATTCTGAGAGCTTCGGCGATTCACTGCAACAGGGAACTGGACCTGGACTTCTTGCTGGTAAGTAGGGGCTGAGGGAGAGGAGCTGGAGGGGACCATGGGGGGGGATCCCTGCCAGGCACCATCCCCTGCTCCCCCAGGCCCCCTGAGCACCCCTGACCCCCACCACATGGCTGCCCCACCTGCCCCAGCTCCTGGCCCTTTATAAAAAAAAAACCCAAACCAAAAACAAAAAACACCTGCACTCACCAGCTGCTGCAGTGGCCTCGGGGCTTTGAGGGGCTCATGGCAGAGCCCCCCACACAGCACGGGGCAGTGGGGACCGCCCCCTGCCAGGCAGCAACCAATGAATGGGGGCTTCCCCCCCCAAAGAGCCAGGAGCTGGGGCCTGTGAGATTCGGAGATTCAGCAGAAGCCAAATCTCTGAATCGAATCACTGTCCCCTGAATTGACCGAATCCGAAGCAAATACTAGCTGCTTTGCAAGGGCCTAGACCCATCTGCCCAAGCTCCTCCTGGGGGTAGAAGCTGAACCTGCTACCTGCCCCCCCACCTGTCTGCAGCCCCATCCCACACAGGGAGGTTTGGTGAGCTGTTGCAGGGAGAGGGGGCTACTGACCCAGCTTCTGACACCTCCCCAAAACCCATGTGGCCCACGAGCCCAAACACCCCTAGCAAACACCCTTTAAAACAATGCAACACACAGAAAAGGCCTCCTGGTGCTGGCGGGAAGAAGGGCGAGTTCCACCCTTCCTTACTGGGACTCTGCCTGATGGGCTCTTCCTGTCCCTTTTTAATGTTTTATTTGCCTGAATAGTGCAAAGTCATGGAAGAAGTGCTACCAAAAAACTGGAGAGTTCAGCCACTAGAGTGATTTATGCAAATTTTGCATGAGTGAGGAAGCATCTTGTAAAATATGCATTAAAACTTTACTCTTTCTATTGGGGAAGGAGGGAGGTGGGGGAAAGAGACAGGAACACAGTAACAACAGAAGTCATTGCCTCAAAAATCTTACCAATTAAAGCAAAGAAAGGAATAAAAACCCAGGAGGTTAAACAGAGTTCACAGTAACCTAATCTTTAATTAATCTGTGAATTAAATGGCTGACCTCACACATGCTTTGTAGTTAAAACTCAACATTCTTGAACAAAGCTTTGCCCCCCTAATCTAATAAAAGTTTCAAGGTTGTTACTCACTATAATTATCTAGATTAAATGCTAAAGAATTACTGTCCATGTAAAATGTATAAAAAGAGCTTCTAATATGAATTTGGTATCATTTCAAAGCATAAACACAATAAGGGTTTTTGGTGGGCATCTGACATGATATGGCCTCAGCAGCAGACTGAGTCTTGCTAGTCATACTCTTGAACATTTAAAAGACCTGGAGAACTAATGTCACCGATTTGTCTATCTTCCGGGAGATCAAGGAGATAAGCTACTTAAAATTTAAGATTCCAACTGGAAGTCAGAAATGCAACCTCAAAGAACATTTCACCCAGACTTAAACTAGCAAGATTGGGTTATTTTATATTTCTTGACAACTACCATCTCCTTGATATTTGAGCCAAGATATTCAAGTGCTTGGTCAACAACAAGAGTTAAAGCCTCTTCCCTCCTTACATTACACTGTGCACATGTAAAGAAGAGTTCAAAAAGCAAAAATAAAACCAAGTTAAACCTAGAATCCTGAAAAAGCCAAGGTTTGAAAGAAAATAAAACAAAAAACCAACAAACATTCAGAACAAAAATTAATTTTAACCATTTTCAAAATTATTCTGTGAAATGTATGTCAAAGTTGATAGTTTACTGGCAATATCCCAGAATGCAACAGAAATGTTCAGGATTCTTGACTATCCATCTCATTTCCCCATGCAGTCCATGGTAACTGTCCGATTCAGTGGTTCTCAGTGCTTTTAGAGTCAGGATACCCTTCCACAACTGCCTTGAATTCAGTGACACCCTAGTTGAAAACCACTGTTGAACTGCCTTCACTTACCTTAGTGGCTGTCTGTCAGAGTGCTGCCGCACACTCGTGCCTGTATTAGGGTTTTCTGATAAACTTAATGCAGGCAGGAGCAGAAGCCTAACTAAACTGCCCCATGCTGAAAGCAAGTGGGGGGAGGAGAGGAGGGAGGTCTTACCTGCCCTGGGTGTCCCCTGCTCCTCCAGTCAGGAACTGCAAAAGGCTGTTGCTGGAGCACTCTCTCTCTTTGCACCCCTTCCTAGTCCAACCCCATACACTCCTCCTGGAAAGAGGGGTTTTCTACCATCCCACCTGCCCAGCAAACCTTGTTTTCTAGGAGCATGTCAGGTCAGACTAGGAAGGGCTACAGGAAGGGTGCAGGCTCCAACTGCAGCTACTTTCTGATCTGCCTCCACAGGAGACATACAGGGCATTTCAACCGGGCTGCAGCAGCACCCACATTGTGACACCACTAAAAGGGGCTCATAGTACCTTAGTTGACAACCATTGGTCTAAATAATGCAATCTGGGATACGTTCAAAGGAGATAAATCTCAAAAAGCTGAGAAACTCCATCTCTTCACATTAATATGTATAAGCTATAGTTTAAGTCCAGCTATCTGTTATTTTTAGCCTCTGTTAAGTGTTGACCTGGTTCTGCTTGGCTGATTAGAAAACAGGCAATCTGTCCTCTATACTTCTACCAGAAGTTCCGCCCCCAGGAAGCGCAAGCGTCTCAGAGGGGAGGTGTATTGTTTTATTTGTTTGTGCCATCCTATATTAATAGTCTGATTAGAAGAGGCATTCAGCAATATAACCGAGTTAAACACAAGTTTGACCATTTTGTAGTTCACTTTGTAAACTTGCATATTAGGGCAAAGTATTTGACTTCAGTATTAAAATTATTTGGAGAAACAAAAGGAACAATAAACCAAAAACTTACTTGTGTACCATTTAGTGATCCAATTCATACAATTTGGCTTCATATCCTTCTTTGAGTTACAAGTAGAGAATTTGATAGTATTCACCAGCCCATCATACCAAAAACTACACAAACACTCACTTTTCACTACTCTCAGTAACACAGGTACCAAGATGAAAACAATTTTGTGCATGAGCCATCGAGGTCAGCTACTATTCAGAAATGGTAGATCAGCTCACTCATGTCACAAGGAAAGACTGAATAAATTAAAGTTAAAACAGTGGGAACCTCTTGAAGGCTAAGTAATTCTATTTCGAGTTGAATGCCCTCCACACATTTACATATATGCTCAAGTTAACATTTGCCATTTCCAGGGTCTGCTTCATGTCAATCTATTTCAGTCTGTGGTTAGGAGTCAGACAATTTGTCCTCTGCTTTCAACAGAATTTCTGCATGCAATTAGAACTTACCACATACAAACCAGCAGTTTTTTGTCTCACAGTAAGAATGCCCCCACTCTTGATTGGTCATAGCTGAAGACACTTAACTTCAAACCCACCTCAGAAGAAGTCCTCCATAAATATCCACATTCTCCTTAGACACTCCTTTTCCATGAAACCTTAAAAAAAACACAAAAAGTTAGGCTGTTGGTGTGCCAAGCCCAGGGCCTATCATACCAACATCTCATTGTTTCCTTATCCTCACCTGTCTGCTTCCATCTGTTGTTCTTCCTCTTTGGAACAGGGACCATTTCAGTTCTGCACCAAGCCCAATGGGCTCCTAGGTTTTAGGCACGGCTAGGGCATTAGGCACATAGTATTACAAATAATAAACAATTCAAATGCATGCATTTATTGTATGTATAGGGGTTTTAACTTGACTAGTTACATACTTGGTAGGGAAGAGAATGGTTTTTAAACAAGCTGTTTACAAATGACCCATTTACCCAGTGGGTGACTACTGGTTGCTTTCTTGCTGCATGTTAGGCCAGAATTTCCAATTTAGCCAAACTATTCTCAGTACAGGAGCAGAGGCAAAGGTGACACTTAATTTCTCCCCGATCCTGGGGACCAAATAGGGTCTAGGTCGGTCCTTTATAAAAAAGGATATTGCTTTTTTTTTAATCAAACACGATGCAAGGCTGTCCAGCTACTAAGTGACCAGAGGTCATGTGACCCACTGGCTGCACTGGCAGGGGCCACACCATGATGAGCCGGTTTGCATGCCATGGGCACCCCTTCCCCGGCTGCACAATGCGCTCACATGGCTGCAGCTTCACCCTCAGCTCTCACAGCAGCAGCCAGAAGAGGAAGGAGGAACGCAGAGCCTCCCTCAGGAATAGCCAGAGCAATGAGAGGGGGAGCAGCCAGGAGAAAGCTCAGGGCCACAACTTAATCCTTTGTGGGCCTCAAATAGTCTGTGGGGACCCACTGAATGCCCTGCCCTAACATGTCCAGCTAGGCCAAGTGCTCTTCTGGCAGCAGGGGGGAAAAAAATCCTGTGTTGTAGGGAGATCTTGGCCATATCCCCTTGGTTCTTGGAATCCCTTGAGGGGACCAAGGAACATCATGCTTTCCTTAGGATAATTTTCTTGCCATTTTCCAGTTGGTCTAATAAAAGGTATCATTTTGGAACCAAGAGTTCTAGTTTTTTTGTATGCTTTCCTTAGTGTATTTGATCATCTCTCTCTCGCCTGCTCCTGATGCCTGCCTGTTTGTACAACAGTTGGGAAGAGGCAAAGGGTTACAGGATTCTATAACTAAGTGAGGCTGCAACATATTTGACTCCTGCAGAAAGTGCCGAGTTTCTACTGCCATTCAGGTCTCAAAAAAAATTCAAGAAAGAATTAAATAGCAAAAAGGACTCAGTAGAAGAGCTTTTAGTCAAGCAGGTCCATTTATTAAGCCTCTATAACAGGTACTTTGAGACAAAATAATTCATTATAATATACAAAATAAATATAAGACAACGTAAAATAACCATGTCAAGGGAAATGTGTTTCTTAGGGACAAAGATTAGGAAAAAACTCTAACATCATCTGTTGTTGGCAGAATGTGTTTTACAGTTCTTAGAAAAGTTCTCTTGGATAGAACAAGCTACCCAGTAGGTTTCCTTAAAAGAACATCTGAAGCACAGCATTGCATTTAGAAATGGAACCAAATTCTGGAGGAAGACAGACAGGAAGGATTTATATTTCCATAGAGCAAGCAAAACAAAGCACCAGCTGGACATTTACTTTACATTTAGAGACTTTATACCATTAGTGTAGGACAGCTACTTAACTGAACAGTTCTCAGTTTTACAAAAGTTTCTATCGCTGCCTGCCACAGCTAGAGCTCATAACTGCAGAGAACTGATTTCTAAGAGCAACACCTAGGATGCAAAATGTCCAATGGCACTTCTTACAGATACCATTTTAACACTGCACATTTCCATTCAGTGAAGACAAGAACTTAAGTGAATGGACATAGTTTGGCTCTTAGTCTCTCCATTCTTGTTGGAAGAAGACCAACCATCTCTTTACTGAGTTCTAGTTCAGTTTCTATGGCATGAACAGCATCTGGATACTTCTCACAGTAATCTACCAGAAATGTGTAATATTCCAATGATGTCTGCATATTTTCCAATTGTTTCTTGCCATCAGAAGTAATAAGCTTGCCATAGAGTCGTGCAATGTGAAATTTGGCCACCATTGCAGGGCGAAGAACATCGTCCTCCAATTTTTCTGGAAATATTTTATCTGGATTTCTCAAAGAATCCAAAAAGAGTTCATAGTACTTGACTGCTAACTGAGCCAGAGAATTAATTTTTTTTACTGTGTGAGAGTCAAGCTCCTCTAGACGGTTACCAATAGCTACCTTCAAATCCATCATCTCATAGTAGGTGTCTGCCAGTTCAAACTGAAGTTGCCTACTAATCAGCAAGTAATACTGTGGATTCAAGTCTGCATATATGGGCTCCAGCATATCTATTCTACGCTTGTGCATCTTGCAGCGCCTTTCATAATCTTCCTCAAAGAAAGCAAGTACCTTAAACAAAGCACTGTGGTCCTGAACAATTTCAATGTGGTCAGTAACATAACCATCAACCTGAAAGAATTCCTTTGCTTCCTGAACATAATTCTGACCCACAAGAAAGATTTCTCTGGCTTCTTTAAAATCTAAAGGACATACACAGCTCACTTTCTCTTCCATGGCTAACACAGAGTCACACAGATCGCTGGTTCCAAATAAAACAGCTTTCTTCCTTCTCTTTTCTTTTTCATCCTCTTCCTTCTTTCTTTGGGCTTTAAGTTCTGATTGCCTGTCTGGATCCAGCTCTCCTATGTTGTCCTAAAATAACAGAGCATGTTACTTAAGAATGCTTGTGCCTTCAGAGAACCATATATATTGAAGTTGCTTTTAATTATAGTTTTCTGTGCAAATACAAATGTAAAACAATAGTAGTAGCAAGACAGAAAAGGGGGCATGCTAACATTTTAAAAATTATACACACGAAAGTGCATGGAAATTGTGATCCCTGTTCTGCATGTTATCGCTCATGCAATACTCTCCCTCCAAACAGGCACTGTATTCCAGGCTCCAGCTAAAGCATCTGCTGAAGTACTGTGTCAATTTTAAGTATGCAAGTAGTTCCACCGGAAGGCAACAGAGCGACTTGCATGCTTAACTGCCGAGTACAGATGGGCTTATTTACATGCTTAAACACCTATAAAGGCTGTGCTGAACTGAACACTAAGAGAATGGTAGCTAAAAACTAGAAGAATCAAGATGTTGTGATATGCATGTTCTATGAATCAAACTGCAAGTTTGAGCATGCACCTTGTTTTCGGCCCTCTGTCCATGACTTCCTAATGCTACGGCTGTATTAAGAGAATAACACAGCTCTTAGAACATGCAGAGCCTACACTTTGAACACCTGTCCTTCAATTACTGGTTGTGCAATTATTCCTATTACAAACATAACTGTTCCCCGATTCTGTACTCATGATTTTTTTAATCAAGCTTTCAATTACCTCAAGCAATTTGCGAGCACTTTGCAGAAGATTTAAACAATACTTAATCCAACACCTTGCAATTTCAGCTTTCCGCTGCTGAAGATCCTGGTGGTCTTGTTCAGCTTCATCTGATAAATACACATATCACAAACAAAGCTGAAGAAAAGTGAAGCAGTCCAGCTCAAAGCTCAAATATGCATAAAGATGACATCTTGTTACTAACATTGACTGAGTTGTTATTCTGCCTATTATTTTCAGATGAACTAGCCCTGAGTGCATTTCTGATTGTAGTACAAATGGCTGGTAAATTACCGTTATGAATACATCTTTAAAACAGTTCAAAGGAATGTACACTTAAAATGGGAAGAGCTTCTGAAATCTGACTCCCTTCTTAACCCCCACAGTGTAACAAGCAAATGGCAGCTGTAAGGGGTCTTCTCCACAGTGAGAGGGAAATATTTGTTTTCTGTTCTGAAGTAAGGAGTTCATAACAGAACAACTATGGCAAAAACTGCTTTCAAGGCACAGTTGTTCTGCATTTGCTCTCTCAATGGGCCTAAGAATTGACATGAAAGAAAACAACAAATCAAGTCTGCACAGAAAAACAGTACATCTGCTAACCCACAAAATCTTGCACTCTCCTCCTCCCAACACTACCACAATCATAAAGAGCAACACTGTTAAAATATGAGTTTCAGGAACTGAATGTGAAAACTGGACACCTGTGAGATAAGGCAGAGATAGATTAGTAGGACAACATGGAGAAGCTTCTACTATTGCTGGTGGTCATTTCAGAATACAAAGGAGGCTCTCATCTTGGTGTTGCTAATTGGGACTTTTCCCTAGCACTACATTCAATTACATGTTTTTTTGATTAGGGAACAAAAAGATGGTCCTAGCTGTAAAGTTATCCCCATTTCTCTGCTGAAGTTGGAAATACACATCTTTTCCACTGATCACAACCTTGTGACTAAACTAGAGACCATATATTTTGACAGGCTTCTGGGGTAGAAGCATAACCATACCCTTTAAATCCAAACCGTCAACCCAAACATTGCTCTTGGCTTGCAGTTGAGTAGAAATGTAAACAGGCACCAGAAATACCTTGTAATTTTTATTCAAAGATGTTTTCATAGACCCCTCCTCAGATTATCACAAACCTGGGATTGGTCAGTCTCAGGTTTCCCTACCTAGACTACCTCTTAGATATCCTGGACTTCAATGTTCATGTACAAGGTGAAATGACTGACCAAGTAGGTTTTTTCCTCTTTTTTCAGGCTTCAAAAAATTGCCATTAGAAATCTATACCCCGAATACTCACTTGACTGAATTTGGGCAGCTTGAGTCTCCTTAGGTTGTACTTTGTCCTGACTAGCACTACCAACTGGATTTCAAGGGATTACCTTCCAATTAGTACAAGCCCTTTACAATTAGCCAGTAGTCTCACTGCTTTAGTACCATGGCAGAGGATCCCCCCAGTGCAGCACCACTGGACCAGCTCCAAACATACTCTTGTTCATACTCACCCAGAGTCTGTTACTTTTCAGAAGAAGAAAAGGGGGAAATATTGCTCTGAATTCTTACATGTCCAAAGTTTGGAATTATACAAATGTAGCAAAACAGCTCCAACTTTGACACTGCTTAATCCAGGTTAAAGATGGAGCAGCTTTGCTACATTTATGTCACTCCCAGCTTATGCACACTTAACTATTAGAATGTAATGTCTGCTGTGTGTTCCCAATCACCAGTTCTCTTTTTGGAAAGGGCCCCAAAACTTATGTTTGTCCCTACCATCCTCCACCAGTGAAATGCTATTGACCTGAAGCTATCAGTTGTTTGAAACCTATAATACAGTTTGTGATACAGTTGTTCACAGCACCACATTTACTGTTTTACAGGAAGTAATGGAGAGAAGTGATAGTCAGGTGACCTTGATCCTCAGATCTGACAGGATCTCTAGAAAAGTAATTTCTATTCCTCTGTATGTTGCCTTAATACACTGATATCAAACACAAGTCAAGGATGGCCCCTAGTGAGACTGCATTGGCATCAAGTGACAAAACATGCAGGATTTTACACGCATTTGCTTCCCTAAGAACAGTGCTGCTATAGTCATCATTTTTTATTTTATTTATTTTCAGGAAGCGTATACAGACGCGTTCACTTACTCATCTTTTCTATTTAATTTTAAGAGCAGCCTAATTTGACTGTATGTTCTCAAATAAGTGGGTAAAACAGGACACACTGTTCAAGAGAAGAAAATTCCTTCATACTCTTACAAGAAAGTAGGTAGAAATGCTTATATTTTGAAAATTGCCCCTATCCACTGTGCTTATCTAATCTCAATTTTTAGCCTATAACTTTTTTTTGATAAAACACTAGACTTCGGCATGATTCTTTCTGGTAAAGGTCCTGAAACAGCTGCAGTGTTTGTGTGTAGCAGATAACTATTAAGTCAGCAATTTAAACTGTAGAGAAAAGATTTATAAAATTAGTTGGACTAAAAGGACCTGGAACTATTACTAGACCTCCCAGCTGGCCAACATATTAATATTTAACATTTATACTAATCATGTTTAATTCACAGCTACCTTATTGAAACTAGCCAGCACTGAAATAAAAAACTTACTGTCCTCTGCAGATGGAGCCTGCCCAGCTTGGCTAAAGATGACGCTGGCAGCTGCTAAACAATGTCGAGACTCCATAAAGCATTGCTGTAGCGAAACAAAAGCAGTCGTGTTTATCAGTTGGCCTAAATAGTAAAGAGATGCTGTTTTAAACTTTGCTAAACTCTCACATTATATAGCTGAAACATGTGAAGATGGGGGAAACTGCAACGCTGAGAAATCCAGGAGCATTTGTCTCTGGACACTCAAAGAAAAAGGTCTAAAATGATTTTTATACTTAAATACAGAACACCACCTTCCTACCATAACACAACTACTACCCAACACCACCCACAGTGGCAGCCCTTGCCTTTGATATCAGGCACAAACAGTAGATTTTTTCCATGTTACTCTGATCAGTTATTGTCATTTCCTGTGTCTTGCAATAAAGACAGTCATGAGCTCAAAAAGCAACAAACATTGAATCATATCCCAGTTCCTTTGCTTGCATTCACTAGCCTTTCTTCATGGTTAGGCCCATTGATTGACCTACTCAGAAGCACAGAGCGCAAATTATTGCTGAAATTCTATCCACAAGTGATTTGATTACTGCATCCAAGTACTGCAGAAGTCTCCACAATGCCTATTGAATTATTCAATGTATTGTAACTTGAATTATCTGGAGTAGGAAGTGTCCTAAATAAACAAAAATAAAATACTTCACAAAGCATCCAGTTACTTTGAGATAATGCAAACACTTGGGAAGCAAAGACTGTAGCAATTATGGACTCAGTTCCAATAGTCACAAAGCCTTAAACAGATGTTATCCACTTGCTGGAATACCAAAGGATAATAATTTAAAGGGTGCTATCTTATAACTTGAACATGTTCTTTGGTTCTTATTTACTTTTATAATAAAAAGAAGAAAATACTGTAATTGTAGTTGCCTTAAAATTAACTGATCGCAGTTACTTTCCTTTAGTTTCACTTTTAAAAACCTCATTTACAAGACCATATCAAACACCATCCCGGTCTATTTCCCCTCTGGCCCTTTATTTTTAAATCTATCCACAGTTCATTTTCACTTCTGGTGGCGTGTGCAATCAACACGTTCTTCTACCAATCCAAAAAAATATTTGACCCTGGAAGATAATTTGTGGGCTTAAAGGAAGACATTTTAAAATATAATACTTGTACATGTCTCAGTGAGCTGCTCAAACATTCACTAACTTCGTAGTTACATTTGTGATAGCAGCTTAATAAATCAAACATAAGAGAGCATTTAAATGATTACCTTAGTGAGATAATATTGTGACAAGGTAGCAGCATTGAGAGCCCATTCTACTGGGTAGTAGCCACTGTACTCAAGCTGTCGTTTAAGGGTGGTATGGCAATATTGAGCAGCCTTCTCAATCATTTCCAGATGTTGGTAGACTTGGGCCAGATAATAGAGCGTATGGGTATAGGCCTTTTCAAATCTGGGGAAAACAATATGGGTCTTTCTTTAGGGTTTCCTTCTTTCTTTTTTAAACAGCTATCACTCACACAATTAAAATGCATGCCATAGCTGGTACCCACTTTTTTGATCTCTCTTGATCTGTCAGTTTTTCTTCTTCTGCCATGAAGTGTTCACTGGGATCAAGGGGAGGATTCCCATTCTGCAAGGAAAAACCACAGCACATACAGCTTATTTGGTGACATTGTGCTCCCCCTGCTGGCTGCAGTATCAAACATGCTCAAAGCAACACAGGAGGGGGCCTAACTGCACATATACAGTTCTCCCAAATCCAGCAAGCCTTAAAATACTATTTTTTCCAGAAAAACCTCTGAATGGTACATACTGAACACTATCCCCTAAAATCCATGAGATGTTAATTAAAAGATCGCAAATACGATATATCTCATTTTTTACTATTATAAACCCACATACAAAACTGGTGCATACCATATTTACTCAATTTAAAGATGATATCCCTCCCTCCCAATTAGCATGGGAGAAAAAGCTCCTCGTCTTATCACAAACAAGGAAATCTCACTAAATACATAACTGCTGTCCAAAGCAGCATATGATTAGCAATGGCAATGGGAGACTGCTTTTAACCTTTCCCCCTAACTTTAAAGTTGGGGAGAAGCAGAGAGCTATCTGTTTTTTCTGCTGTAGCAGTAGGAAGGGGACAAAGTCAAGGCAAACCTCCAATAATTAGATTCTATACCTGGAAAATTGTAACAAGTTTATTAATTTCCCAAATAGAGAATCTAATCATTGGGGGGTTGTCTTATAACCAGTAATTTGAGTAAATATGATAGACGTTTTAAAAGTATTATACTGCATATTCTGAAATTATTAACTATAAAAAACTCAGGCGTTAAAGTTGGTGGCTCTCTCACATATGATAATATAATGACTTTTTTAAAGCACTGAGCTCATTACAAAACACATGTAACACCCCCACTCCCCCCCCCAAACCACCCCCTTCCTAATCCTTGCAGGGTTAGACACAGAATACCTAGCAAACCTCCCACAAAGGCTGATTCTGCTAGCAGTTTTGCACAAGAATAGCTGTAACCACAAAGCAAGGGAACTTCTCATTACAGTGGTGTTACTTGCGCACAAGTGCAACAATGGGGGACTACCCACAACCACTTAAGTTAAGGTCTAGCCTGCCCATAATTTTTGTACTGATAAAACTACTTCTATGAAATTTAATTAAAATGTTTGTACCAGAACAAATCCCAAGCGAACAGTTATTTTGATAAAGGTATCAGACAGCGTGGTTTATTCCCCTTCCTATACATGACAAATTGTATTGTTATACAACACCTTTATACTAATATTATTACATTCACATAGTTGGGGTGGTATCACTTTAAGTTATACCAGCAGAAATAAATAAGTACAAAACTTTTGTGCACAGACCAGCCATAGAAGTCTAAATCCTTGACTCTCAAGGTAAAGCACCAGGCTGATCAATTAACATGAGGACAACAGCAGACAAAAAAAATTATGCATATGTTAATCTGGGCTACACACTTCTTCCAGCTTGAGTAAAGTGTTGTGACGTTTCAAATCTCTTAATGTCCCCCAATTGAATAAGGCATGGTTTACAAAATTATTTACAAAAACATCAGGTTTCTACAGTCACCCATAAGAGCAAGAAAGCAGAAAGAGTGGAAGGACATCATAAAAATCCAGCTGTGACTCCGTAAGTGAAGTCTCATTGATTTTAAAAGGAAAAATGCAAATATTTATAAACTTTTCAATAGGAGACAATGAGACATTCATTCCAAAGAGAAGAGACTACACAAAAAAAAAAAAAAAAAAAAAAAAAAGTCTCTCCGAAATCAAAATAATTGCCTTTGACTACTGACTTAGGGTTTTAGCAGATATTTAGAATTCATAAATAAGCAGGCTTCAGCCACATGCTGCTGCGGATCGGACAGACCCAGCTGGGTCGACACCGGCCAGCAGAAGCGGCGGCAGAGTCATGTGCCACTCAGTACTGACCAGCACAGGCAGCAGGAAAGTGCAGCTGAGTCCCTGTCGCTCCAATTAGGCTCGTCCCATCCCAAGCGGCGCACAGCTCCGCCGTCACCTCTCCTTCCTGATGCCAACTGAGCCGGAGCTGCGGCCCAGCTAATGCTTCCCCTCCCCAGTAGCAGCCCAGCCCAGCCCTGCTCAGCCCGGGCGGCACAGCACGGCACAGCACGGGGAAAGCCAGCCCAGCAGCTGCTTTCCTGGGCTTACCTTTAGGGCAGGGCCCTTTCCAGTCCCATGCAGCAAAGCAGAAGGTGGCGCAGACACAGGTTCTGGCCCAGGCCCCCCTGCCCGTCTCAAGCTGCAAACGTGGCCTGAGCCAGGGGCAGGGTGAGGCCAGCTGGGTCAGGCTGGGGTCAGGGTTGGTTGCCTCACAACCAGAACCCAAGTAAACCACCTGAGGTGCTGCAACTGGCAACTGATGCTGCTGGTTGCCACTGGAGGTTTTTAAACAGGCAGCCACCATTACCTGGGTTTTGAAGGGGCTCCGTGGGCCAGAGGGAAGTGCTCGGCGGGCCATATTTTGCCCACCCCTGCATTACAATCATTTGCAACATGGTGGCCAGTTTAGAGGGACTACCAGAATCACATGCTCTTAACTTTACAACCTTATTGCTCAAGCACTTGAAAAATAAAGGGCAGATAGATATTTCCATCGTACTACTTCACTCTTGTTTGAGGATCTCTTTATACATTACATGGAGGATGGCAAGTACATTATCCTCATGTTATGAACTGAAGGAGAGTGAAGCAACATCTCTCAGTAGCTCAATAGAACTGCTAGAACAAAACCCAGTCCTCTAGAGATGTACAGTCCTGTAGCCTTCACTGGACCACACAGATTTCCCCAAGAAAACAGAACATCAGGAGGCAGGACCTTCTCTAGCAACGTGTGTCATTCTCAAGTCATGTCATGAGACAGAAGGAATCTGGCTCAAGATTGTGAGACAGACAGAACTGGTACACAAGTCACTGTATTCTTTATACTTAGTATTAAAATATAGGCTTTTCCAGGATAACAAACATATCTCTATAGCAATAGACTATCCCCTACACAGGAAAGTCAGTTGACTGACAGATACAGAAGCAGCATGGGTTATACTCTTCATAGGTCATGGTTGGGAGCATTACCTGAAATCTACTGGGGAGAGTGGGAAAACTATACAGACAGGCCCGTGCCTTATGTCTTTTAAAAAAAAATAACCTCCCTTGTCTATAAAGAAATAATGTTATCTTTTATTCATGTTCTGTCTAATCTGGAAACGCATGGTAACTAGAGAACTAATGAAAGGATAACATAAGAATGAAGGCTTAACAGCCCCAAGAGGAAGTCATCTGTTTGTTTAATCCTTTTTGGCTACTCTGTTTAGCTTCAATTATTTAACTTATATTATTAATGTTAAAAAATCTGCTAGTAAAACATTTCTACACCTCTAACTGAAATGCAAAAGCTCATAATCTCTCTCCTTGTAGCTTCCAACAAGTTTTTCAACGCTCAACAAAACCAGTTACAATTCCCAACAGAAACTAATCTGCACCTGCAACCCTTCTTAATTCCCATGAGTGCCCAACTCATGTGTCAGGCTTTGGGCCTTCCCCTCTCCTGGAGAATTCCATGATTCTCTTCCTCCGAGACCAGGCCCTAGCCACAGTACCTAGGCATCAACAATGCTTACCAGCAGCTCTGAGTTCAGCACTTGTGGTTCCTCTTAATGCTCTACTGCATGATCTAACAGCTTTCTTAAAATCATAGTGGTGTTTTATTTTGCTATAAGAACAAGCCAGATTTTAAAACAGATTCAAATGTAGAGAATTTGTCATCCTGCTTAAAGCTCCGCCACCCAGTTAGGACGACTAAGGCATAACTAATTTTTCTGGATGCCCTCAAAAGGTCCGTGTGTCCATCTTACTCTAAGTAGCTACATGTACTTTTGAGAGGAGAGAATTCTGCCGGAATGCCTTTGTTCTCTTGCTTGCTAAAAACAGACCTGCAAATTAGCTGAAGGCACGAAGCAGAATCTTTAATGGAGAGAGGCACATATCTTAAGACATGGTTTCTCATCCTGCTAGTTCTCATCACAGCCCCAAATTATCAAACCTGTATATTCACACAGCAAACTTCCCAGTAACTAAACACAGAGCTATTCCATAATAATTAAGGAATATTCCAATTCTGTCACAAAGAATTTAAAAGCATTTGCCCTGTTCTTCCCCCCACCCGCACAGCAGCAACGCCATAAACTTGATTTTTAAATGTTCTTAGCATGTTAGGTTTAATATTCAAAGTCCAGCTCACAAGCACTTACAAAATAAACATTGCAACAACATATAGACTTTCATAGATGTTAGGGCTGGAAGGGACCTCGAAGATCATCAAGTCCAGCCCCCTGCCCCAGGGACAGGAAGTCAGCTGGGGTCAAAGGATCCCAGCAAGATAAGCATCCAAATGCTTCTTGAATGAGTCCAGAGTAGGTGCCTGCACCACTTTCTCCAACTATAAGTGCATGTTAAAACTACCCTGACAAACAGCCTTCCCAAACTGACTGTTACTCTTGCTTGTTTTAATTCAGGTTAAGAACTGAGTTGTTACAACAGCCTACTTTATTTAAGCAAAAAGCTGTTTTTCTGGATTATTAAAACAATACTGGAATACCATGCAATTCAAGATTTCAGTTCTTCCAAGTGTTAGCAACACACATTATATCACTTTTCAGAATCTCAGTACATGTGAAAAGGAAGCTCAGAAATTCATGCTTCACAGATTTTTTTCCAGATATAACTCAATGTAAAAACAGCAGGAAACATCTCCCAGCCTGGGAGGACTCAAAACGATACCCTTTGCAAGTTGCAGTCTTCAGGGCAAGACTCATCTTTTATTGTCTGTACAGCATTCAACTTAATGCCAGGTGCTACTATAATGTATGTACCAGAACGCTTAGTTTACATGCAAACTTGCAATGCTGAGACCAACCAACATAGTACCTCTTTCATGTACTGATTATACAAGGCTTCTGCAGATTCCAAGTAAGTCTGTGCTGTTTTAATTTCATCCCTTTCAGACCACAGGATACCAAGATTGTTCTGAAAAGACAAAAAACGAGGTTATTTTCTAAATTGTTTCTCCTTCCCATTACCCTGGCCTGCAAATACAGCCATACCGTGTCCTGATATTGGCAGCCAACCAAATCCTATCCAGTAAACGGCAATTTCAAGTTTAGGATTTGGCCCAAAGTTTTAGCTTGAGTTGCCTAAAGAGGGATCACCACACTAATATAATGAGCCATGTTGATACAGACAAATAACTTAGTTTGCAATTTTCTGTATTTCTTCTATTACAGCAGGTGTTTGTGCGTATTTCAGAGTTTTGTCTTTCCCAGCCTGTTACATGGGCAATTCACCCAGCAATTAAAGGCCCAATGGGATCTGATCTGTGATCCCAACAATTGCATCTCCTGCCACACTACAGGAGGAGATGCAACTGTAATCGGATTCCTGATCCCACAATTATGCCATATTGCTGGTGCAAAGGGAGCCTAACATCACGATCCTGGGCTCCCTCTCCACTTGAAAGTGGTGCTCCCAGGGCTGTGAGCACCAGTCAGCTGAGAACACCAGCCAGCTGATGCACCAGGAGTGCATGTGAGCCAATCATTTGACCAGAGTTCCCCAGCCTAGTTAAAACGCCACAGTGCCTTGGGTATTCAGCCTTCCACGTTTCAAAATAGTGGTGGGAACGCTTTAACTAAACATTAGTTAATGAGCTTTAGTTAAAGTGCCCTTGCCGCCATTTTAAAGTACAGGAGGTTGAATATCTGAGATGCTGCAGCACCCTAGATGTACGAGAGCCCTTCAAGGCACCAGTGCTGGCCACAAATTCAATTTATAGTGTAATGAAAACCAGCCACAAAGTTGTTATACATTTTTTGTGTAATAACTTTGCAGCTTATTCCCTGGTTTAAACTGCCATTAACTGAAAGAACATGTGGCTAGGTTGCTACGTAATATGTGATTAACTGGTTAATCATTTCATAAGTATAATGTCTTATACTGCCAGGGGCTTTAGTCACACGTGCCGTCATAAGATTTATCATCATGCCAGAAAGTCAGAATCACACCTCTGCAGCCAAATTAAGAGAAAACAGACAGGGAATAAGCAACAATATTTAAGTATTGTCAATAGGCGACAAGGACAGTGAAAAAATGCATTAAATTTAAAATGTGTGCATCTTTAGATTTAAAACATGGTAACTTGCATAACAATTCTTGCACTGTGATCCCCACACCCTCCAATTTCAAAGCACTTCTCCAAATATATCATTAAAAAATAACCATTCACAAATGTTATTAAATTTGACATGTATTCATTTAGTTTCTGTATCTGGCTGATGGAGGATTTAAAAATTAATATAAAAACTAGCATAACAGAAGATTAAGGATTATTAAATTACTTCTAAAAATGGAGTACTACGAGCAGGCCAGGAACAAGGGCAACAGCATGATGTTTGTGAAGAGAAGCACGCTGCCCAATGAATTTACTGAACAGTGAAACCAGCTAAACTCAGTCAGACAGCAGTTGTCATTTATGTCACCATGTAGATGAACAGAGAGAGCCCGTACTTTAGGAACAGATGCAATATAAAATGAAAGGAGCACACCCAGTTCTTCCAAAACAAAGGTGAGACTGGACACCAAAGCAGAAAGCTCTAGCGTCTAGAAGATTCTGGTAGTGGAACACAGGCAACACTAATGCTCACAATACTTATATTTTGTCTTATCAAATGTTTCCAAATTTGTTACCATTTAGAACTGCGCACCCAATCTTCAAATCCCACAGCCAGACTCACAATTCCTAGCTGTTACTTGCATCAGTTGCCAGCTGGACAGCAGAACTATGTTATAACACTGAAAAGATATTTGGAAAGCAGATGGAATCAGGGATCTGAAACAGGAGGGAAAGAAAGGAAGGGAAAACAACATCCTTAAGACAGAATGGGTTGATTACAAAGAACAACTGATTTAGACTGGCATTGTTTCATCTGCAAGACAGCGGGTGTGGCAGCCTATGACGTAGATGGTTTGCAGTGTCTCACAAGAAACTGAATAGTCCGGTCAGAGATTTGCATGCCCTATGTATCATGAGAACCAATACTTCAATAAATAAATAAATAAATAAATAAAAATCCAAGCAGAACCAAAGACTTAGTCCACGGCAGCATTTCTCAACCTTTTTACACTTGAGGCACCCCTTGGAAAATGCCAGCTCTTACTTTTCTATAATAAAAAAAAAGAATAAAAACTAATAGAGCAACACTTTTCTTGCACATAACACACAAAGCCCACAACAGATCAGGATGTTTTAGGACTCTGGATTCCCATTTGAAAAATCTGGGTTTATCTTGCGAAGCATGTCTGCACACAATGTGCTAACACTGTGTGGCAGCCATGGCCCCTGAAAGGATCTCAAGGCACCTGAGGGTGCCATAGCTGCATGGTTGAAAATCACTGATCTAAGGCAACAGAAGGGCCAACTTCAATGAGTTTAGGAGACTAGTGGGGGAGACATTGAGGGCCCAGAAGGCAGAGAAGATGGGAGTCCACAAGGGATGGTCGTACCTTAAGGGGGCGATCCTCCAGGCCCAAAGGATAACAATCCCTGAGAGAAGCAAGCGGGGTAAGAGTGCTCAGAAACCCCCTTGGCTCAACAAGGGCATTCAGCAACGCCCAAGGACTAAAACAGGGGCGTACAACCAGTGGAAGGGAGGAGCTATCGCCAAGGAGGAGTACTCCTCCTCGGCCCGGGAGTATAGGAGGGCTATTAGGAAGGCCAAGGTAGAGATGGAACTCAGGTTAGCGTCCAGGATTAAGGACGACAAAAAGTCCTTTTTCAAGTACATTGGGAGCAAGAGGGCACCAGGCAATGTAGGGCCCCTGCAAGACGCAAACGGTAATCTTGTGGCTACGCCAAACAAGAAAGGTGATATTTTTAACAGTTTCTTTGCCTCTGTTTTCTTGAACAGGGACCAGGACATCCCACCTAGCAGAGGTAGGGACAACCTTGGGGATAGCTCTGTCAGGCCTTCAGTCTGTGCAGGTGTAGTTAGGGATCTTCTGGAAGGGCTAGACATTTTTAAATCTAGAGGTCCAGATGCCCTCCACCCAAGGGTGTTGAGGGAGCTGGCAGGGGTCATCGCGGAGCCCTTGGCCCAGCTGTATGAGCATTCACGGTCATCTGGCCAGGTGCTGGGGATTGGAAACTGGCTAATGTGGTCCCAATTTTCAAGAAGGGGAAGAAGGAGGACCCAAGTAACTATAGGCCTGTCAGCCTCATCTCAGTGCTTGGGAAGATCTTGGACAGAACCATCAAGGAGCACATCTGTGGGGGGCCTGCGGGGGAGATCATACTCAGGGGCAATCAGCATGGGTTCATCAAAGGTAGGTCCTCTCTCTCACCCTATCCTCATCAATAAATTAAGTGACTGTGGCATTGATGCCTACACAGTTGGATGGGTAAAACACTGGCTGATGGGGCGGGGCGCACCTAGATAGTAGTGGTGGACGGGTTGTACTCAACCTGGCGAGATGCAAGCAGTGGGGTACCCCAGGGCTCGGTCCTCGGGCCCACACTGTTTAATATCTTCATCAGTGACTTGGATGAGGGGGTGGAAAGCAAGCTCTCCAAGTTTGCTGATGACACTAAGATGTGGGGTGAGGTGGACATGCTTGAAGGGGGAGAGAGTCTGCAAATAGATTTAGACAGACTACAGAAGTGGGCAGACGAGAATAGGATGGGGTTCAACAGACAAATGCAGGGTGCTGCACCTTGGGAGAAGGAATCCACAGCATACATACAGGCTGGGGAGTTCTCTTCTTGAAAGCACAGAGGCAGAAAGGAATCTTGGGAATCATTACCGAGTCCAAGATCAACATGAGCCACCAATGCCAGACGGCAGCCAGGAAAGCCAGCCATACTTTGTCATGCATCCAAAGGTGCATCTCAAGCCGGTCCAGAGAGATGATACTCCCCTTCTATGCGACTTTGGTCAGGCCGCAGTTAAAGTACTGCATCCAGTACTGGGTGCCACACTTCAAAAAGGGATGTGGCCAGCCTGGAGAGGGTTCAGAAGAGGGCCACCCGCTTGGTGAGAGGGCAGCAGGACAGGCCCTATGAGGAGAGACTGGAGGACCTGAACCTGTTCAGCCTCAGCAAGAGGAGGCTGAGGGGGGACCTGGTGGCTGCCTACAAACTCTTCTTTTCTCCCCAGCACCACCTGGGGTAACAAGGAACAATGGTAATAAGCTGATGGAGAACAGGTTTAGGTTAGAGATCAGAAGGCAATATTTTACAGTTAAGGTGGCCAAACTCTGGAACCAACTTCCCAGGGAAGTGGTCCTTGCCCCTACCTTGGGCAAATTCAAGAGGACGTTGGACGATCACCTGTCTGGGGTCTTGTGAACCCAGCATTCATTCCTGCCTGTGGCAGGGAGTCAGGCTGGATGATCTGTTCAGGTCCCTCCTGACCCTAGCTACTATGAAACAAATCTGAAAACTTTGCATGACCTAAACATGCTTGACTGACTTCTGATTACTGATGACACACTGTTCTGTCCCAGCCAGGTTCTTAAGCAACCCTGGATCTGTTAAATGATTGCTTTGCCCTGCTGAGCATGGATATTTCATGAGTAGAGGTCTACCTAAATCACAGGGGAGCTTACCAGTTTTTGCAAGTTGATCACAGTATAAAGTTGTAATTCCATGGTCATTTCACAAAAAGCCCTGCCCCTCAGCACTGACTGGAGAGGCTGCAGCGGGGAACGACACAAGGTGGCAAACCCCTCTTGCCTGCTGCCCTTCATGTCACTCCACCAGCTGGCACCTTCCCCTCCCAACAGCAAGGACCACTGGCTCCCGCTGGGGAGCCAGTATTTTATTTTTAAGGGGCTCTTTCCGTTAAATTTTGCAGATTTTGTGGACAATCTGTGAAACCACAAATTAAGTAGGTCCGTAATGAGGTGTCCCAATGAAGGACAATAACCAAATCTTTTAAACAACCTGCTTAAATAACACAAATGGCTCTCCCCAGTCTGTAGCAGAGACCCTCCACAGAAGCCTTTACAGGCTAGTTGTGTGAGGCTTTGCAAGGAAATGGCTGTTGTTCTAGCTTGGTGACTCTCAGCCTTGTCAGTGTAAGGCCTGTGGCCAGCCATGCCCATTTTCAAGGGACCCGGACCCAGACCCAGCTGCAGAAGTGTGGCTAAGCAGAAAACCCCATAGCCTGTTTCTAAGTGATCGTAGTGTAAACCTTTGTAAATGTGACAACTAGCTTGGTCAGCAAAGAAAACCATCCACAGGTGCCAGCAGACATAGAGGGACACTGCTTCAACATACTGCAATTACAGTGCGTTGGAGCAGACTCAATCCAGTCTGCTGGTGTGCACTAATTAGTGTGCTCCAACAGCCTCCACATCTCATGTATTCAGCGGCCCTGTGCTTCAAAATGGCAGTGGGGACATTTACTAATGCTTGTCCAGTGAGCTTTAGTTGAAGCACCCCCACCCTGATTTTGAAGCACAGGACACTGAATACATGAGTCACAGCAGGTGACTTAATTAGAGCAGCTCTCAGAGCTCAAGGCCTAAAAGGAACCATAATAAGGGAAGACCATGTTAATTAATCCAATACATAATATCATAGCTTTATCTTAAAATATTAGCAGTAACAACTGATGTGCTCAAATCCATTAGATGTCATGTCGCTATATGTTTGTTAAAATGCTTAAATAATTTGTAGAAACAAAACAGCCTTGCCAGAAAAGGCCATAAACTAAGGTAAAAACAAACAAAAACAGGCCCATGTTAAACAACACTGGACAACAACAAAGAGAGGAGAAACCCCGCTTCCTTTTACTTCCTCAGGGATATAAACCTCGGGTATTAACACCTTCCAAGTCCACAAAAAATCTGGTTTGTTCCTGCTCCAAAAGTTCCAGTAAAGCAAAAAAAGGTAAATAAAACCAATCAAACCCCATTTAATAAAATATTAAAGCCAGCCCCCTGCAAATGCTAGGGTACTTAGCAAATTCAAGAGGACCCGGTGCCACCCTGCAGCCACCCTTGGAGCCTCCCAGCCCAGGACCCCGACACTGAACTCCAAGGTTGGTTTGTTTTCTAGCTCAAGCTGCGGCTACAGACCCGCTATTGACTGTTATCAGCAGCCACCCCACGCACGATGCCACCTGGGTCCCAGTCCCAGCGCAGGGCTTTGCGGGGCAGCGGAGCAGGGGGCTGCAGCACAGGCCTGGCGAGCGCGGCCCCCGCGGGCAGGGCAGCGGCTCGGACCCGGGGCTGGATGCCGGGGAGACGCCCGTGCCCACCTGCGCCTGGATGTAGAGAGAGACGCAGGCCCGCGAGAGGCGGCGCGGCTCCAGCAGCCGCGTGCACTTGAGCAGGTGCTCCTCGCCCGCCGACAGCTCCTCAGTCTCCGTGTGGTTCACGCCCAGCTCGTACTCGAGCGCGGCCAGGCGCCCAGCCCGCAGCGCCGCCGCCGCCTCCGCCTCGGCCTCGGCCGCCTCCTCTGGGCCCAGCAGCTGCTTAATCTCCTGCAGC